AGTGGAATATTCTCCAGTGAAGCGTCAGTACAGTATATACGATGCTGCATGCACTCTGGTAGTGTGCCATCTGCTGTTCCAAAGGAAAGGAGTACATCCTGTGGCCGTACACTAGGAACAGATAGTGAAAATGAAGATGACATTGTTACAGTTGGAATGGATAATGTGCATGTGTCATCAGATGGTGTTGGTGCCATGCGCCATGAGGTTCCAGCAGCACCCCATGCTGGTACCCACGTCGTTGAGTCAGCTGAGCTACAACAAAGCCCACCCTCACCCACCCACCCACCCACCACACCAACCTGCACAACCACACCAACCTGCACAACCACAACCTCCACAACCACAACCTCCACAACCACAACCACCTGTCAATATCCAGTACCCACCAGCAGACCACATCTGTGAATGGCAGGAAGGTGCCAATTTTGTTCCCAGTCCTCATCACTTTGATGAAAGTCAAAGTGGAATACGGCCATCTTGTACGTTTGGGAACAATGCCACTGAACTGGAATGTTTCAAGTTATTCTTTGATGAACCCCTCATGGAAATTATTGTCAGGGAAAGTAACAGGTATTTCGATTACACCATGACAAACACAGTTCTTTCACCAAGATCACGCCTACACCAGTGGAAGGAGACAACTGTGGCTGAAATGTATCTTTTCTTTGCCACAATAATGCTTATGACACACATGTATAAGCACAGTACCAAATCATAATTGTAAACAGACTGCCTGATTGCAATCCCAGCTTTCAGTGATATAATACCAGTGAATCGATTTGTGCTACGATTACGTATGCTACACTTCTCAGACAAAACCAAGCCTGACAGAAATGACAGGTTATATAAGATTAGGAATGTGTTCATGTATCTGAAACAGAAATTCTCTATGTATTTTTATCCCTTCAGGAAGCTTGTTATTGATGAGTCTTTGATTTTGTTCAAAGGTAGACTGTCGTTCAAGCAGTATAAAGTTGTTTGTACTTTGTGATTGCTACAGTGGTCATGTATTGAATATTATTGTGTACACTGGAAGTAATACATTGCAAGATAGCAGGAAGTTATTGGGTTTCTCTGGTGATGTGGTCAGAACAATGATGGAACCATATCTTGGTAAGGGGCATACATTATATACTGATAACTGGTACACAAGCCCCTCACTCAGTGATTTTTTTGTGAGCGAACATGACAGATGTGTGCGGTACAGTGCTTGCAAATCGTAAGCATATGCCTAGGTTCAAGTTTGGCACTCGCAGAGGTGAGGTGCAGGCATTTGCTGCCAATGACATCATGGTATTTCAGTGGCATTACAAATGAGATGTCACACTGTTGACATCAGTTCACTGAAATGAAATGACAGACACTGGCAGGGAGAATAGAGAGACCAATGAACCCATTCTAAAACCTGCAGTTATGATGGACTACACCCTCAATATGCACTCAGTGGACAAATGTGACATGCAAATTGGGTTTGCTGATTGTGTTTGCAAGAGTTATAAGGGGTACATAAAACTTTTTTTATCTTCTGGATATTTCCATGCTCAATGCTTATAATATGTATATGAAGACCAGAAACAAACCACCATATGACCAATTTTGTTTGTCTGTCATCAGACAAATATTATTCAAGTACCAAGCAACAACACCTGCAACAGACAACCACCTATGAACTGATCAACAACTACCCTCTCATCTGAGGCCTAGTGATCACTACCTAATACAACTGCCGTCTACTACGAAGAAAACTGCTCAGAAGGGGTGTTTTGTCTGTGCACATACAAAACAATGCCCACAAAAACATGAAGACACTTGTTTTATGTGTGAGGAGTGTAAAACACCACTGTGCATGGCACCATGTTTTGAAGAGTTCCAAAAGCTGCAGCATTTCTAGGAACATGTCCAGTGACACTATATGTGTATATATACATAGAAAAATAGTAATAAACAACATTTTTTATTGTTGGTTTGTGTAAGCATGTTTTGTAAACAGTATAATGACAACTATGTGCGGTTATTGTGTAGCATACAATGAGTAAATATACTACATACAGTTTACCTTATATTGGTCTCACAAGCCATAAAAGTTACTTGAAAAAGTAAAATGTTAAAAAAAAAAGTAGAAAAAAAGAAAATATACGATTACCGAGTGACCAGCAGTTGGCTTTGTTGCTGTAAGCGGTTCACTTTGTCAATTTCACTCCTCTATATCTCGGTAAGTATTGCTTTCAATTTTTTTTTTTCCGACCCTGAGTGGGAGTTAACCCTTTCAGGGTCCAGAGGCCAAATTTCAAAGTGCACACCAGGGTCCAAGAATTTTCAAAAACTAATTTTGTTATTTTTTCTTATGAAACTGTAGAGAATCTTTTTCTGAAGGTAATAAAACAAAAAAGTGCGAAATTTGATGGAAAATTGACAATTATGCTCTCGCAAATTTTGATGTGTCAGCGATATTTACGCATCGGTGATTCTGCTGACTTTGACTCCCATTTTAGGCCAATTACCTTATTCCAGTCGACCAAATTCTTAGCTATTTCACTAGTATTACTTCTATTCTATTGATTGAGCACAAGAAATCATCAAGTCAACTGTTTCAACTACAAAATAAAGTGATTGGAAATTGGTAATTTGGCCAATTTAGTGCAAAGTTAAAAATATTCCAATTTCAAAATAGGGTCCAGAATAAACAGTGCAGGCATTCCTGGCACTAAACTAACATTTCCTCTGTTCATTAGTTATGTTTTCAGACTTTACAAATGAATTCCATTTTGATTTTTAATTCACATAATGAATTTTTATTCAGACCAAAAAATAGAAGATTTACTGTCATGCAATATTGTAATAATTGTGTAAATAATATCAGCACATATGTGAACGTATATTAGACCCACCACTGTGTGCTGCAGATTTGTTTTATGTGGTGCACACATGCCACATAGATGTATTCTCTCATATCTAAGCCCAAATTTACCACTCACAGCTTATCAGAGTGAGCTGAGCTCATGGCATAGATCTACAGTTTGGACCCTCAACATAGAGCCGTAGATCTACGGCACGGACCCTGAAAGGGTTAAGGATCGAGGGTCTCTTCCCTCAAAGGGTTAAAGCCAAGACAACAGTGCAAAAGTGATGCCAATAAAGCAGATATAATTCTTGGTTTCATATCAAGAAGTAAAAATAACAGGGGTACTCAGGTTATACTTCAACTCTATATATTGTTGGTTAAGTCTCATTTAGATTATACGTACTGCATAGTTCTGGTCACTGTCTTACAGAATGGTCATCAATGTGCTTGAGAACATAGAAGTATGACAGAGTTGATTCCATGTATCAGAAATCTTTCCTGTGAGGGTAGACTGAAAGCACTGAATCTACACTCTCTAGAAAGGCGTAGAATTAGGGGGAATATGTTTAAGGTGTATAAATGGAAAATAGGAATAAATAAAATGTATGTAAATAACGTGCTATAAATATCTAACCAAGACAGGACTCATGACAGTGGGTTCAAGCTGGAAAAATTTAGATTGAGAGGGGATATAGGAAAGCATTGGTTTGGTAATACAGCTGTGGATAAATGGAACAAACTCCCAAGTAGTGTTATAGAAATTGTCCCAGTTGTCAGTGAATGGGATTGCAAGTTCTTTGCTGTATCTGTCTAGCCAGCACTTTACACTAATTGCCCTAGATATCCATTCATTGCCCACTCCTCTTTTAGGCAAAATAATATGGTACACACAATTAGCCCTAATTAAATCTATAGCTCTCCTGTACTTACCTAACAGCTCCTGTCTCCTGCCTTTCCCAATACTATTCCCACCAGAACTGAGGCAGATGATGGACTTGTTCCCATTACCTGATGTATTATCTAACCTGTTGACTGTCGCCAACACCAGCTCTAGGAAACACCCTCTGTCTCGTCTCATCTCTGTTACAGAAGGCTTGGTCAGTATATTTTACCCGAGTCGCCAACCACAACAATAGTTCTACCTTTAGTAACAGAGGAGTTAGTGACACCTTTATCCTCACCAACCGTTAAGTACACTTGTCCTTCAAATCTGCTTTTTTAACCTTTCTTAATTTGATGTTTCTTCCTTTACTGGAAACTCCAATCTGCTCCTCACTGCTGGTTTCCATTCACTAACACCAACCACCTCACACTCATTACTACAGAAGAAAGTCATGGTGCTGTATTACCCCATACTAATCTCCCAGAACAGCTCAGGACAAGTACAAACTCTCATGACTACTGACCTCGGAGAACTACCCACTGACCTCATGCGAAGCACATTAGTATAAGTTCCCATTTGTTGTAATGTGTTGAAATGTACACTACCACTTTCTGGATGCCATTTCAGCATTCTTCTGCGCTTTGAAGAAAAAACTTTCTAGCATCTTTTTTAGCACTATGTTGATTTATAGTTGTGGCTACATGTCCCTGTTAAAGGTGCTAAAATCTTTATCTGTTTTCTGAACTTATGTGTTATTCCTCTTCACAGCTAATGAAAGTATGTATTGTATTTTCAGTTTTGTTGTATTTAATTTAGTTCTAAGAGGCATTTTCTAACATCTTTAATTTGTTTTATCTTTTTTTTTTTTTCTTGTAGATGTGGACATCACACTGCTGCTCCAAATTTAAATTTTGGCAAATGTAATTTTTTTTTAGCATTGTACTATCCATATATCTGAATGCCATTTTTTATTTTGTCATTGTATCATATGAGTTTCTCACTGTTGTGTTTGCCATTCAGTAACGATCTTTAGTTTTTAATTACTCTGATTCCTTCATCTCTCTCACATATTATAAATATTTTATCAGTTTATATTCTTCATGTGACCTGTTACTATTTCCATTATAATGCACTTACCAACAGGGTGCCCAGAAGTCTTGACCAATAGCAAAAATACACAATTTACACATACTATAATTTATTCAAACTGAAATCTGTTCCAGTTATACACATATTAATTCTTGTGCAAATGTTTTTTTAATGTTTCTTAAGCTGGAAACGCTGATCTGAGAGCATGCAGTCTGAATGCTTTCCTTCAGCGTCACAGTGCATCTGAACTACTGGGAATGCATCAAAGAACTTGGAATGTACTCTCAGGAGCAAAGAAGAGAGAGGCCTGATAATATATACATGGAAAATACTTGAGAGACGGGTTTTCATTCTGCACACTACCATAACAACTTAGTGAAGTAAGAGACATAGGTGGAAGCATTGAATAAACCCATCGAAATGCAGGGACACATTGAGCACAGTTAGAGAACTCTGTGCCAGCACCCATGGTCTACAACTCTTCAACCTTCTTCCAGCAGATATTAGAATATTTTTGGAAAAAGGACAGTTTCTCAAGAGAATCCTGCAAGCTACCTGCAAAAAAGTGCCTGAGAACTGTTAGCAGCAGTAGCAGCCTGGTTGACCAAGCAAACCAACAAGGATGTCTGGCCCCAGACTAGGCTGCAGGAGAGTAGAAGTCTAGAAGAATCTTCAAAAATGGACACAGACACATTACAGGTAACCACAGATTTTGGGTATCCCTTTTGGAATAAGTTTAGTGGTGATAGATCTGGACAACATGGAGGCCATCAGGGTGTTTCAAGTTGTGAAAACTATAAAACCAAGAATATTAATGTGTTTGATTAACTTTAAGAGTATGTTGTCTATGTTTACTATGGGTCCAGACTTTTAGTGCACCCTGTTCCACAATCTATCACTCACGCCATATCATCAGTATATCAAAGTCTACATGTATGTATGTATGTGATAGGTATATCACAGGTAACCACAGATTTTGAGTATCCCTATGGAAAAAGTTTAGTGGTGATAGATCTAGACTACATAGGGATCATCAGGGTATTTTAAATTCTGAAATATGTAAAAACACATTTTAAATGTGTTTAGTTTACGTTGAGTAAAAATGCCTATGTTGACTATGATAAAAATGCCTATATTGACTATGAGTCCAGACTTTAAGGACACCCTGTGCCTTAAAATCTACAGTCCATCAGTCACTGTTTCATCAATTTATCCAAGTCTACATGTAGTACAGGAACATTAAATGTCAGCATATAAATTTCTATATGGTCACCTTCCACTTACTCTACCAAATATTTATCGTATCTCCATCATGGCACAAAGTATAAAGGTGTTCTTCAGCATGAGAAGGTCGGTGAAACTTTTAGAAATACAGTCCAATATGTCAGTATAGATAAAATATGGTTGTAATTCTATTTACCAAGCAAGCTGAACTCTCCTTCTTTTGCTGTATTAAAGTTCAGATGTTGAATTTTGAGATTTTTTGCCCATATTTTTGAAACATAGGGAGTTCAGTTAAACCATCACAGAAACAAAAATATGTGACTTTGTTAACATAAATGCAAAGCATTCTAATTTTCATGGAGGTGTGAAGTACAGTGCCTGCACTCAGGAGGAGGAGGAGATATGTTGCAGTTTTTGAACTGTAGTGTCAACATACCTCTGACAAGACAGTGATGGAGTGAGTGATGATGAAAGTGTTTCTTCTTTTCTGGGTCACCCTGCCTCGGTGAGAAATGGCTGAAGTGTTAATAAAAAATTAAGACAAATCAACACATCAGTCCTTATTGTCATGACTGCTTTTTGGGTAATCATAAAATGTGTTTTCAGGCTTAAAGAATGAAGTAAGCAAAATGGAAATGCAAGAAATTTCTTTAGTAAGTCACGTAGTATCAGAACTGATATTATGATAATGTTAGATAATGTTAATGATTCTTGTAAAAGGAATGTGTTTAGTTTGAATTCTGTATTACTCCACATATTGTATGGGTGATACATTTTACATCACTTAACCCTTAACCCTTAAACTGTCCAAACGTAGATCTACGTTTTTTCAACATTTGAAAGTATGTAAAAAAAGTAGATCTTCTTTTCTTTTTTTTTACATTTGAAAATGTGTAAAAAAACTTTGATCTACTTTTTTTTTGTTACATTTGAAAATACAGTGGACCCCCGCATAGCGAACTTAATCCGTGCAAGAGGGCTGGTCGTTATGCGAAATGTTCGCTATGCGAATTAATTTTCCCCATAAGAAATAATGGAAATAAAATTAATCCGTGCAAGACACCCAAAAGTATGAAAAAAAATTTTTTTTACCACAAAAAAATGTTAATTTTAGTACACACAAACTGAAAAAGGCATGCACAATTACATGACACTTACTTTTATTGAAGATCTGGTGATGATTGATGGGATGGGAGGAGGGGAGAGAGAGTGTTAGTGTTTAGAAGGGGAATCCCCTTCCATTAGGACTTGAGGTAGCAAGTCCTTTTCTGGGGTTACTTCCCTTCTTCTTTTAATGCCACTAGGACCAGCTTCAGAGTCACTGGACTTCTTTCGCACAACATATCTGTCCATAGTGGCCTGTACCTCTCGTTCCTTTATGATTTGTCTAAAGTGGTTCACAACAGTGTCATTGTAACAGTCACCAGCACGGCTTGCAATAGCTGTGTGAGGGTGATTTTCATCAAAAAAGGTTTGCACTTCAAGCCATTTTGCACACATTTCCTTAATCTTTGAAGTAGGCAATTCCTTCAATTTCTCTCTCCCCTCCTTTGAACCAGTTTCCCCAGGTCTGGCCTCTTGCTCTTGAAGTTGATCTATCAGCTCATCAGTGGTTAGTTCTTCATTGTCCTCCTCCACCAACTCTTCCACATCCTCCCCACTAACCTCCAACCCCAAGGACTTCCCCAATTCCACAATTGATTCCTCAACTGGTATACTACTCCTCTCAGGGTTAGCCTCAAACCCTTCAAAATCCCTTTTGTCTACACATTCTGGCCACAGTTTCTTCCAAGCAGAGTTCAAGGTTCTCTTAGTCACTCCCTCCCAAGCCTTACCTATAAGGTTTACACAATTGAGGATATTAAAGTGATCCTTCCAAAACTCTTTTAGAGTCAATCGAGTGTCTGTGGTCACTTCAAAGCACTTTTGAAACAGAGCTTTTGTGTACAGTTTCTTGAAGTTGGAAATGACCTGCTGGTCCATGGGCTGCAGGAGAGGAGTGGTATTAGGAGGCAAAAACTTCACCTTAATGAAGCTCATGTCCCCATAAAGTCGCTCTGCCACGTCTGTAGGATGACCAGGGGCATTGTCTAACACCAGGAGGCACTTAAGGTCTAATTTCTTTTCAGTTAGGTAATCTTTCACATTGGGGGCAAATGCATGGTGTAACCAGTTATAGAAAAATTCCCTAGTGACCCATGCCTTACTGTTTGCCCTCCACAGCACACACAAATTATCCTTGAGGACATTCTTTTGCCTGAACGCTCTGGGAGTTTCAGAGTGATACACTAATAAAGGCTTAACTTTGCAATCACCACTAGCATTGGCACACATCAACAAAGTAAGCCTGTCTTTCATAGGCTTATGTCCTGGGAGTGCCTTTTCCTCCTGAGTAATGTAGGTCCTGCTTGGCATTTTCTTCCAGAACAGGCCTGTTTCATCACAATTAAACACTTGTTCAGGTTCCAGTCCTTCAGTTTCTATGTACTCCTTGAATTCATGCACATATTTTTCAGCCGCTTTGTGGTCCGAACTGGCAGCCTCACCATGCCGTATCACACTATGGATGCCACTACGCTTCTTAAATCTCTCAAACCAACCTTTGCTGGCCTTAAATTCACTCACATCATCACTAGTTGCAGGCATTTTTTTAATTAAATCGTCATGCAACTTCCTAGCCTTTTCACATATGATCGCTTGAGAGACGCTATCTCCTGCTAGCTGTTTTTCATTTATCCACACCAATAAGAGTCTCTCAACATCTTCCATCACTTGCGATCTTTGTTTCGAAAACACAGTTAAACCTTTGGCAACAACAGCTTCCTTGATTGCCGTTTTCTTGCCCACAATAGAAGCGATGGTTGATTTTGGTTTCTTGTACAACCTGACCAGGTCGGTGATACGTACTCCACTTTCATACTTATCAATGATCTCTTTCTTCATTTCAATGGGTATTCTTACCCTTTGAGGTGTAGGGTTGGCACTAGAAGCTTTCTTGGGGCCCATGGTCACTTATTTTCCACAAACAGCACCGAAAACACTGTAATAATACGAAATATTCCGAGTGTATGCTTGAATGTTACCGCGGAGGCTGGCTGGTAAACAATGGGACGGGCGGCACATGTGAGGCTGGCTGAGGGCGCACATTGGACGCGTCTCGGACGAAGGTCGCTGAGCGGGTTTTTGTCCACTATGCGGGGCAAAATTTTAGCGAACAAAGCGTTCGCTATGCGGATTGTTCGCTATGCGGATTGTTCGCTATGCGGATTGTTCGCTATGCAAGGCGTTCGCTATGCGGGGGTCCACTGTATGTAAAAAAAACGTAGATCTACTTTTGAAGCACTACACATGTGAACGTAAATTTGTTTGGACAGTTTAAGGGTTAAATGATCCAAACGTATATATACGTTCTCTCGCGTAGAGCCCCGATTTTTTTTTTTTTTTTTTTTTTTTTTTTTTTTTTTTTTTTTTTTTTTTTTTTTTTTTTTTTTTAATAGGAAAAAAGAGCATATGGTACCCAGGCATCCACAATTTTTTTCATATGGTGCACAGTGAGTGCACACACCGATTCTCTCATGTCTAGGTGACTCAGGCTTATCGTGGCAATGGTGAATGAATGACAAAGAAAATGTATATGTACGTTTGGGGCGCTACGCAAGAGAATGTATATATACGTTTGGACCGTTTAAGGGTTAAGGTACAATTGTCATAAATCACGACAATTTTAATCTGATGATATTCAGTCAAAATTCTCATTTTGGGAGGTGAAGGCTTTGAGGGTAAAATATTTATGCAGTTATGTTTTTTATAGGGAAAATTCATAGTTCTTCTTCATTTAAATCTGTTGGAAGAATTGTGTGAGTGTATGTTTGCCCAAAACAGGATGAGCACATACAGTTGGTGAGCAAAATAAACCTACGTTGTGGCACCTGCATCTTTTATAGTACCCATAAAAGACATTGTCAATGCAATAGAAATCGTTGGCATTTTACCATTTTAGGACGTTATACTTTTTTTTATTAACACATTGGCCATTTCCCACTGAGACAAGGTGACCCAGAGATGAAGAAACATCTTTATCACTGTCTTGTCAGAGGCATGCTGACACTTCAGTTCAAAAACTGCAACATATCTCCACCCCTCCTTACATACATACATACATACATACATACATACATACATACATACATAAATATATACATACATATATATATTTGTTTTTTTTTTCAACAAGTCGGCCGTCTCCCACCGAGGCAGGGTGACCCAAAAAAGAAAGAAAATCCCCAAAAAGAAAATACTTTCATCATCATTCAACACTTTCACCACACTCACACATAATCACTGCTTTTGCATATATATATATATATATATATATATATATATATATATATATTTATATTTATTTATTTATTTATTTATTATGGAGGAGGTGAATGTATTCAGATATTTGGGAGTGGACGTGTCAGCGGATGGGTCTATGAAAGATGAGGTGAATCATAGAATTGATGAGGGGAAAAGAGTGAGTGGTGCACTTAGGAGTCTGTGGAGACAAAGAACTTTGTCCTTGGAGGCAAAGAGGGGAATGTATGAGAGTATAGTTTTACCAACGCTCTTATATGGGTGTGAAGCATGGGTGATGAATGTTGCAGCGAGGAGAAGGCTGGAGGCAGTGGAGATGTCATGTCTGAGGGCAATTGTGTGGTGTGAATATAATGCAGAGAATTCGTAGTTTGGAAGTTAGGAGGAGGTGCGGGATTACCAAAACTGTTGTCCAGAGGGCTGAGGAAGGGTTGTTGAGGTGGTTTGGACATGTAGAGAGAATGGAGCGAAACAGAATGACTTCAAGAGTGTATCAGTCTGTAGTGGAAGGAAGGCGGGGTAGGGGGTCGGCCTAGGAAAGGTTGGAGAGAGGGGGTAAAGGAGGTTTTGTGTGCGAGGGGCTTGGACTTCCAGCAGGCATGGGTGAGCGTGTTTGATAGGAGTGAATGGAGACAAATGGTTTTTAATACTTGACGTGCTGTTGGAGTGTGAGCAAAGTAACATTTATGAAGGGGTTCAGGGAAACCGGCAGGCCGGACTTGAGTCCTGGAGATGGGAAGTACAGTGCCTGCACTCTGAAGGAGGGGTGTTAATGTTGCAGTTTAAAAACTGTAGTGTAAAGCACCCTTCTGGCAAGACAGTGATGGAGTGAATAATGGTGAAAGTTTTTCTTTTTCGGGCCACCCTGCCTTGGTGGGCATCGGCCAGTGTGCATGAGCGTGTTAGGAGTGAATGGAGACGAATGATACTTGGGACCTGACGATCTGTTGGAGTGTGAGCAGGGTAATATTTAGTGAAGGGATTCAGGGAAACCGGTTATTTTCATATAGTCGGACTTGAGTCCTGGAAATGGGAAGTACAATGCCTGCACTTTAAAGGAGGGGTTTGGGATATTGGCAGTTTGGAGGGATATGTTGTGTATCTCTATACGTATATGCTTCTAAACTGTTGTATTCTGAGCACCTCTGCAA